AATTAAAGCAACTTTATGGTGTTAAAAAAAAAAAAAAAGAAACACACTCCCTATCCATTTCTGCTCAGTAAGATCAAGTCTATGGGCTAGCCCCAAAGGAGTGGAGATGCTGTCTCACCCAAACTGGCTTGGGGCAGGGAGCCCCAAGGGATGCGTAGTTGCGGGCAGCTTATGGATGAGCAGAGAGCAGACTGCGGTCCTGGGAGGTGAGGGAAGGCAGGATGATGACTACCACAGAAGGAGGAGGGGCTCTGGGATGATGGTGGCCCAGGCTTGGTCTGGACCCAAAAGGATGACTGAAACTGGGACAGGGAATTGAGCAGAGGGGTCCGGGATACTTATGGTTTCCTTTTTCTCCAGGGGAAACCCTGGAGGGGGTTCTGGGAACAATGACCAAAGCAGTCCCTCACATTTGTACAAAGTTTTATAGTATTCAAACAACTTTCACTCAAGATCACATCTGCTGTCCAACACAGTTTTACGTGAGTCAGCCAGATATTCCTGGCTTTCAATGGGAAGTTGGGGCTTGCCCCAAGAGGCTTGTAAGTGGTCATCCCAACCTCCTGTGCCCAACCTTATCACGGTATTTATCACATTGCTTTATGACACTCTGTTGACGTGTATTTCCTTTAGACTGGGAGCAGCTCAAGGGCAAGAACTATTGCATGTAGGGTATGTCAGCACCCTCAGTGCCTGCAGGAGACAATGAATGCTGAAGCAGAAGGCCCCCAAAGTCGAGCATTAAACAGGAACCCATAACACCACCACTTGGGTGTTGAAGAATAATGTTAGTGTCCCTCATGGGGCTAACATCACCCCAACTGGGCTTGGGACAAAGGCCCCAGACAATGACCTTGCTACCTACAGAGTGAGGGGCAATAATGAGGTTACTCACAGGGTTAGAGGACCAAATACATCACCCTTTTAGGGCCAGGGGAACAATGACAGCATTACCACAGAGTGGGAAGTAGCAATGACATTCCCACAGGGTGGGGTGGGGAAGCAACAGCAAAGACAATGTCACCCACGGGGTTGGGTCCCTGTGGCACTGGCAGCTTCCGGAGCTCAGAGCCTTCGTGATCATCCTCGTGATGACTGATGTCCAGCGTGGTGAAGAGGTTGGAGAGAAGCCCCAAGATGTGGACAATGGCCAGCTTGTTGGAGGGGTTGGGCTATAGGGAGAAGAGAACTGAGCTCCAGCTCGCCCAGCCCCATCCCTGAGTGCCAGCTCCAGCTCCAGCCCTCACCAGCCACAGCCCACTCAAGGAGAAGGCCCAGTGTCCTGGAGCAGCTCCCTGGCCCCCAGAGCTCACTCACTATCTCCTCTGCCAGCTTCTCCAGCTGCTGGATGTAGGGTGAGATGAGAGAGTGCAGGTTCTTAAGGATCTCCTCCACCTGCAGGGCCGACAGCAGGAAGCCCAATGCCTGCATCAGCCACATGCACTGGCTTGTCTGTGGGCAGAACACGATGGTCAGTCCTGACCACACTTGGTGGTGTGTAGGAGGGAGAATGAGCCTGCTGGAGAAGCTTCCAAGAACGAAGGCAGAAGATAGGATTTCCAGAAGAGGTTCCCACAAGACTCCCCAAAAGACCTCTAGAAATGTTTGAGCCGCACCTTGTGGATCTGTTTCATCAGCACATCCTGGGGGTAAAAACATGAAAAAGGAAAATGGTATTAGCACAGGACAGAGTGCCCTGAGGGCCAGCACTGTGCAGGGCCCTGCATACCTGTGACACAGCCACGATGTTGGCGGCGTAGGGTGGCAGGTCATACTTGCATTCTCGACAGATCTTCTTGAGGGTGGACACAGAAGAGACTGAGAGTTCAGGATTGCCCAGGGCATGCAGTACAAGGGGTAAGACACTGTTGATCATGACAGGGTGGTCGGCCAGCCATTCAGACAGAGCTCCTGGAGGAAGAAGGCAGGGGAGACTCTGAGGCAGGCCAGGTTGGCTTTGTACTGTGTCCTGGAGGCAGGCAGGGTCAGGTTGCAGCCCCAGCATGGAGCACTGCTCATTCTGGGCACCAAAGAGGTGGCTATGCATGTGCATGCTCAAATGTGAGCCTTACACCTAAGAAGCAGGAAGGGACTGCTCAAGAGAGGCTCAGCACTGCTGTCCTGCTGATGCAAATAGACCTCACTAGACTGCAGCTCAGTACACTGTAGGAAGGACCCTTAGACCTGCCAGGACTGTCAGTTGGCTGCTGAATGTGTGAGAGGGCAAGTGTCTCTTCCATTTTGGACAGGACGGAGCAAGCTGGCCATTGCCGGGAATCAGCACTGTGGCTGTGGTTATATGGTCATGGGTATAAGCCAGGTCTTACCAATGGTGAACATGACAGTATCTGCCAGTTGCACGTTGCTGATGCTGATCCGTGGGATGAGGCCAATGAGCCCAGGCACCACATCAGAATAGTTGACATCTATGGTCTCTGCGATGGATTGGAAGCCATAGAGCAGGGCTTCTGTGTGCTGGGGAAAGAGGGTACCACTGGCTTGGTTGAGGAGGGTGTGACAGGTCAGGGAGGGCTGAGAGAAACAGGCTTGGGAGGTACCTGCCAGGAGTAGGGCTCCTCTGAGCTGGTAAGCAAACGGCCCAGCTTGTCATAGAGGTTGCTGAGCAGCTCGGCCCCCAGCATCTCATAGACATACATGAGCGTGTCTGAGATGTCCACCCTGAGAAGCAGATGAAGGCCTTTTACACTGCCTGGATCCTGCCCCAAGCCCACGGGCCTACCCAGGTACCCTTCCAACCCTGGAAAACACCCTGAGAATAGAAAAAAGAACCCCAGAATTTAAGAAGCCAAGGACCCCTTCCCTCATGCCTTCATGACATTTCAGGACTCCATTTAGAGCTAGGGTTGGCCTGCTACCATCACCTGTAAATTCGGAACTGCTCCTTTTCGTCTGAGGACCAGAATCCATATTCTTCATCGGAAGGGAACTGGGCCTTGTGTAGAAGCACATCCACCAGCTGGAAGTAGACCGGCCGGTACACCTGCTGGTACACAGCCTGTTTCTCTGCCTCAAAGGACAGAATGTCATCCTGAGAGAGCCAGGGATGAGAGTCAGCCATTCCCCGGGAGACACAGAAACCCAAGATACACCTTCTATCATGGCCCGGACCTACTAGCTGTCAGAGACACACCTGCAGTGTGTACCAGAAGGTGAGGGTGAGGGAACTGGTGGTCTCGTTGACAGGATAGTGGCCAGGGATGCCCGTGCAGAACATGATCATGTTGACCAGTGCCAGGAAGCTCTGCCAGTGCTCTACTTGGTCCAGCAAGGCTCTGGGGAGGAGGAGATACAGTAAGGTCATTCCACCTCTCCAAGGGGGTTCCATAACCTCCTTTCATTTGATTTTTAGTTTTGCTATAGGCAAGGCGCACTTGCCAGAGAGAGACAGAGAGAAAGGGAAAGTGTGAAATCATTCCCCCAGGGGAGATGACCACATCATAATCCCTTCCCCTCCAGTCTCCTTTCAGGATTTTGGGCACACATTCAAGCTGCTGGGGCCAGGACTGGAAGCACACAGTTGACCATGTGGGATCTAGTGCCTTAACCTCTGTAACACTTGCTGGTCCCATAATCCTACTTCTTAAAGGATCCCGCTATCTCAGCCCCAGTTGCCCCACTCCTCACCGGGAGTGATTCTCGCCCAGGGCCACAGCAATGCGGCAGATGCCATGGGAGGTCTCCATGTCCCCATTCTGCACTGCTTGTCTCAGTTGTTCCTGCAGTCCCAGCACCAGTGGGATAAGCTTCAGGAGTGTGTTCACGTACCTAGAAGCATGAGGCAAGGAGAACCATCAGAACTATCTACACCCCCCACCATCTACCTGCCTTCCCTGACCTCCCCTCCCTACATCAGATCCCAAGCTCTGACGCTGCCCACGTTGGGAAGGGCATTAAGTCAGGAACCTCCAGGAGAATTCAGGGAAGGAAGTATGAGAAGGTCAGTATTAATGGATTGAATGGGTCCTGCAACTGGACTGAGAGTTGATGGGTTAAGATTAGGGAGAGGTTGGGATGAGGCGAAGAATCATGGGAATGCTACGAATTTTGAGGCACACAAGGGCAGACTGTTGTTGGTCAAACTGTGTCCCCTAAAATAGGTATGATAAAGTACTAATCATGAGAACCTCAACATGTGACCTTATTTGGAAATAGAGGTCATACTAGAGCAGGGTGGCCCCTAATCCAACAAGACTAAAGTATCCTATAGGAAGACATCTGTGTGAAGACAGAGACATGAAAGGGGGGATGGCATGTGAATACAAAGGCAGAAGCTGGAGTTACGCAGTTGTAAGCCAAGGAATGCCAACAACTGCCAGCAAACCACCAGCAGCTAGGGAGAGGGAAGGAAAGCTTCTTCTACAGGTTTCAGAGGGAGCACGGTCCTGCTGACACCTCGATTTCAGAGTTCCAGTCTTCAAAATTATGACAGTAAGTTTTTGTTGTTTAAAGTCATCTAATTTGCGGTGCTTTGCTGTGTTAGCCCTGGGAAATGAATACAAGGGTAGGAGACAGAAATGCTCAGGTTTAGGTGCATTATTATTATTATTATTATTATTTTAAGACTTATTTATTGGTGTCTCTTCCTCTCTGGACTCGGACCTAAATGGCGGCAATATGGCTAAACACACTGAGAAGGTTGGCATTGTCAGTAAATACGGGACACACTATGGTGCCTCCCTCCGGAAAATGGTGAAGAAAACTGAAACTGGCCAGCATGCCTAGTAAACTTGCTCCTTCTGTGGCAAAACTAAGAAGAGACGGGCTGTGGGGATCTGGCGCTGTGGTTCCTGCATGAAAACGGGAGTCGGTGGTGCCTGGACCTACACCACAGCTTCGGCTGTCACAGTAAAGTCTGCCAGCAGAAGACTGAAAGACCAGTAGAAGCTCCATAGACATTCGGAATATCACTAGTCTATAATAAATTAGTTAATTTATGTAACAGCAACAACAAAAAACCCTTAACCTTGAATCTATCCAAGTGGTTACTTTTCTGACTCCAGGAGGGCACTATAGGAGAAAATATTTATTTATTTATTTATTTATTTAGCTATAGGGCGTTTGCGCTCCCCAGAGCGAAAAAGAGATAGAAAGCTAGAAATCACCCCCCAAGGGGGAAGACCACACTACAAGCCCTTCTCCTCCTCCATTCTCCTCTCAGGACCCTGGGCACACACGCACATACACCCAGCATGAGTTTTTTGTTTGTTTGGTTTTTGTTTTAGAGAGGCTTTTGCTATAGGGTGCATGTGCACGCTAGGAAGACTGAGAGAGACAGAAAGCAAGAAATCACCCCTGGGGGCGATGGCCACGCCACAAACCCTTCTCCTCCATTCTCTTCTTGGGATCTTGGACGTGCACACAAGCATGCACACGTGCCCAGTGTGAGTTTAAGCCACCGAGTCCAGGACTCAAACTGTGGTTGACTACATGGAAATCCAGTGACATAGCTATTATGCCAACTACGGATCACACCAGCATGAGTTTTAAGTCACTAGGTCCGGGATTCAAAATGCGGCTGAGTATGTGATCGTCCAGCAATGTAACCATTACACCATCTGCTGGTCCCTGTTTCTGTTATTTCTTTTTTTTTTTTTAAGAGGTTTTTGCTATAGGGTGCATGCATTCACCAGAAAGACAGAGAGACAGAGAGAGAGAAAGTGAGAAATCACCCCCCAGAGGGGATGGCCACACCACAATCCCTTCTCCCCCATTCTCCTCTCAGGAGCTTGGGCATGCATGCCTATGCACCTAGCATGAGTTTAAGCCACCAGGTCCGGGACTCGAACCACGGTTGACTACATGGGAGCCCAACGACATAGCCATTATGCTAACTGCTGGTCCCTGTTATTATCATTTCCTAATCTGACCAGAGAGAGACTGAGAGAAAGGGAAAGTGAGAAACCAAGCTGCCAGGTCTGGGGCTTGAACCGCAGTTTGCCATGTGGGAGTCCTGCACTATAACCACTACACTACCTGCTGGTTCTTTAGGTGGACTATTAATGAAGACTTTAGAAGGTAGCAACAGTACACAAGAGCATCAATCCCCACCTTGCTTGCTCATTTGTTCAGAAGAGAAGCAGCATCAATTACCTGCCAAAGTACTTAAGACTGGCTGCGCAGGGTAAACTTGAGGGTATCCAAGGACATCCCATATCACCCACACATTTGCCCTGATCAGTTTCCCCCAGCCACCAACCAAATGACCCTAACCAGTGTTTGACTTCAGGCTGTGAAGAGAGACCTTGACATGGGACTCCACCATACACTCCATCCTCCACCACCAAATCCCAACTCCTGTGTAGCTCGGTTGGCAGTAGGAAGGGAGAGAAGTAGAGTTAAGAGGCAAAACAGACAGGACTTGAGGGTTGACTGGATAGAAGAGTGCAGAAGAGTAAAGGACAACTGTCCAACTAAGTAAATGGTAGAGCTAATTTATTGAGACTTAGAAGGTTGGGTAGAGGCAAAGAGTAACGTCGTTTGTGTGTGTGTGTGTGTGTGTGTGTGCTTGCCAAAGAGAAAGAAATCAAGAAATCACCCCTAGGGGGATGGCCACACCACAAGCCCTTCTCCTCCATTTTCCTCCTGGGATCTTGGGCACATACGCACATGCACCTGGCGTGAGTTTCAAGCCAGGACTCAAACCAACAGTGACATATTTTTTTAAAGAATTATTTAATTTAATTTATTCTTTTTCTTCTTCTTCTCCTTCTTAATTTGATTAGAGAGAGACACAGAGAGAGAGAAAGAGGGAAAGTGAAAAAGCAAGCCACCAGGTCCAGGACTTGAACTGTGATCAGCCATATGGGAGTGTTCAGTGACTTAACCACCACGCCACCTGCTGGTCCCCAGGACAGTAACATCTTTAATGGGAGGTAGAGAAGTGGTAAATTCAGTATTAGGCATGTTGACTCAGAGGCCCCTGCTGGAATATGCATAGATGTGCACAAATAAAAAAAAGGGGGGGATATAAAGGACCAGGTGGTGACACGGTGGCATCACAAACATGGGAAAGTTCTTGGGTTCATATCCTGGGACTCTCCTGAGCACACTGTGCCCACAATTCTGGCCAGCTGAGACTGGGGTTGGGTTGTAGAGTGAAGATCCTGTTGGGGTTGCTTCTTTCTCTCTCTCATAAAATACATAAATAAACTTAAAAGGAATTGGATATAAAACTCTGAAGCTCAGCAGAGAGGTCAGAGCAAGAGACACAGATTTGAGAGTCATCAGCTAATAGCTGGAAATGGACACTATGGGAATGAACGAGAAGTGCCCAGGGAGAAAGTGATGAATGACAGAAAAGAGGGCCCAGATGCGCCCTGCACTCAATAATTCTCTAATGGAGGGGCAGATGAAGGAGACAGAAAGAAAGGTAGCTCCATCCCACTGGATCCCTCCCAAGCAGCATGCTCCGCAGAGATCTGGCTAAGGGAGGGGCATACTCTCAGGGGGCATCGGACACATTTTGCCACCAAGCATAGTGTCACCATAGCAATCTACAGAGGGAGGAGAGACTAAGGGTCCAAAAGTTCCATCTGGACTTATCCCAAGAAGTTGCTAGGCAGGAGCCTCATAACCTTAGTGAGAGAATGAAAAGGACAAAAGAGGCAACCAGGCCAGGGTGTTGGCCTCCTTTTCCACACACCATTCTGATAGGAAAAGCTATCCATACCAGGATATCCCCCGACCTGGAGATAGCCCGAACGGGTGCTGCATGGTGACAGCTGAGATGGCTTCAGTCGCATGACCCTGACACAGGCTGCACCACCAGACAATGGGCACCCTCAGGCCAGAGTCTGGCACAGAGAGCAGGGGCAGGGCCAAGGCTACGGCCCACAAGCTTCCCGCAGCTGAGATGGGGGCAGATGGCAGTCTTCTATGCCCAGAGCATCCCCACTGTAGCCCAAGGCTCCCTCCACCTGCCCCAGCTCATGCAGACAGTCAGTACCCCAGGAAGGTTCTTAATTAGTCTTATCTGAGCTTCATAATAGGATAAATAAAGAACAACATTGCCCAGAAGGGCTCAGACTATTACTCAAGGTCATACAGCAACTTAGAGGCAGATTCTAGGTTGGGACGGCCCCTTAGAACTCCTATAGGTCTGCTTCTCTTTCAGGGTCCAACAGGAACTTCCCCCAAAATATTTAAGCAGATCTCAGCCCATATTTCCAGTCTTAACTGATGGGTGCTCCAAGAGCATGTCTAATTCATCTCTTCTCCTACCACAGCACCCATTGAAAAGCTTTTCAGGAGAAAATACATAATTCAGAAGGAAAAAGAAACATTTCGAAGGAGAGAACCAGGAAGTGGCAGCAGCTGTAGCGAGGCAGAAAAAGGGTGACTTGAATACCAGCTAGCGGAGGGGATGCCAGGACACCTAGGGGGTAGTGCCTGGATGACCCAACAATCAAAGCCACTGAAGGTGACTTTCTCAAGCCACAACTAGGAAACCAGACTAGATAGAGCAAGGCCCCAGCTCTGACTCTGGTCTGGGTGTAGCCACATGTGGGGCAAACTCCTGTATAGATTTCCCACCAACCTGAGCAGCTGTGCTGGAGAGCTGTGACCAGAGGAACAGGTCTAGGTGTCTAGGTTTGGGGGAGGAGGACAGAGAGCATGTCTCTAGGGCTCAGCTGAGACTGGGTTCAAGTGGCCTGGCTCCCGTGGTCAGCTGAAGCAGAACAGCCTGAGTAGGGCTGCTGGGACTCCTTGGCTGCCGTGCACACTGAGCTCAACCCAGGCCTGCAATTAGAGCTTCGGGAGCAGAG